TCAGGTGATCCTCCTGCCTCAGCCTCCCAAAGTGTTGGGATTACAGGTGTGAGCCACCGCGCCCGGCTACATTTTTTTCTCATCAATCTTGCCAGAGGTTTGTCTATTCATCAGTTTTCCCAAAGAACCAGATTTTTGTCTGTTTATCTTTTCTTTTGCTTCGCTGTTCCTGTGTCACTAATTTTCAGTCTTTCATGTATGTTTATATAGGTCTATAAAAACTCTGAAATACACACATCGGACTGATGATAACAGTTACCTCTGAGTGGGAGATAAATGGGGATGTGCTAGTGAAGGCAGGTCATCACTTTTACTTAAATTTTTATTTTTAGTAGAGATGGGAGGGGTCTCACTTTGTTGCCCAGGCTGGTCTGGAACTTCTGGGCTCAAGTGATCCTCCCACCTTGTGTCCTCCCAGATGCTGGGATTATATGTGAGTTACTCTGCCTGGCCTTTTTTTTTTTCTTTTTTAGATAGAGGCTCGCTCTGTCTCCCATGCTGGAGTGCAGTGGTGTGATCTCAGCTGACTGCAACCTCAGCCTCCCAGGTTCAAGCTGATTCTTGTGTCTCAGCCTCCTGAGTAGCTGGGATTACAGGCGTCCGCCACCACACCTGGCTAATTTTTATATTTTTAGTGGAGATGGTGTTTTGCCATGTTGGCCAGGCTGGTCTTGAACTCCTAACTGCCCGCCTCGGTCTCCCAAAATGCTAGGATTATAGGCCCGAGCCACGGCTCCTGGCTGTCACTTTTTATTCTATAAAAAGTACTGTATTTTTTGAACTTCTGAAATGAGAATAAGTCTGTGTATTTCTTGTATAACTTAAAAAGCAGCAACTAAGAGCAGGATAACAGTGGCACTGAAGTAACCTAGTTTGGGTAACTGTAACTTAGGGAAGGACGGATATTAGAGCAGGATGACCGTGGCACTGAAACGACCTACTTTGGTCACTATAACTTAGAGAAGGACGTATATTTGCCTCTTTTCTCTGCCGCTGGGAGAGCTCTGCCGGGATCGGAATAACCCCTTTTCCTCCCATAATCCTAAAAGTTTAGTTTTTATACTTTCTTTTCTTTTTGAATCCAGACCTATTTGCATTGCAGTTTCGTTCAACTTAATCTCATAATGAATATCGGAAATGACGTCTCATGGACTGAGAATGCATCTGTCCATCACACCAGCACGGCGGGGCCTGCGCCTGCCCTCTGGGTTGGCACTGAGCCCTCCGACCTGAGCTCTCACCTGCTGCTGCTTGGGGTCCGCCCCCCACAAAGACGGAACTCGTGTGTGCTCCCCGATGTTTCCCACACCCCTGAACAGTGCCCGGAACACGATAGGTTTTCAACAAAAATGTGGTGAAAAGAATTACATGGCCCATGGATGGGAAGATTCGCCGTGATTTGCACTCGGACATCACTGAAGCAGGCTGTGAGCCTGTGTCCACGTCCTGCCAATCCCACATCTGGATGTCTCCTAACTCCGTCTGCCTCTAGTTTCACCATTCCACCTGGTCCAGGCGTTCACCGAACTGAGCTGCGACAGTCGGCAACCTTTCCGCCCCGCGAGGCTCTGCCTCCTGCTGCTGCTGCGCCGGGTCCACGGCCTCCAGTCGGGCGAACGGCTCTTCCTGCTCCCGGGAGCTCTGCGGGGCTCCCTTCCTCCGGGGTGGCTCCATCAGGCTGGTCTCTGGCATCTCCATTTCTGTGGCCTTGGGTTGAGGGTGGCACTGATTCCTCCCTGCCCTTAACGATGCATTGAGCTTCGCCCCGTCCGTGAGGACACGCACTATGGTCTGTGAGTCACACAGCCAGGATCTGAACCAGGTTCGGCCACGTACAGCGGTGGTCAGGCCAGCACGCAAACTCTCCCGGCCTTCAGTGTCCTCACCCTGGAAATGGGGTGGGTGACTGTCTGTGTGGTGTGACTGTCCTGAGGACGACCACAGCTCAGCGGGAACCTGACACACGCCGTGCGCTCACCAGGCAGGAGCTGGAGCCACACACCCCCACCAGGCTCCAAACACTGGGGACTGGCCCAGCTGCCCCTCACGTCTCCTCTGCCCTACAGGATGAACACGCAGCCCCTTGGCCCAGCACCACAGCCAGGCTGGGGAAGGGCAGAGTGGTCTCAGCCCCAGGTCCTGCCTGCCCGACGGCTCCTCAACTTCTCTTCCCAAGTGACCTGAGCCTGCAGCCCATCGTCTGCACTGGCCTTCACTATAACCCGTGGATAACTTACTAATAAATACATTTTAATTATTAAATAATTAAACATTAATACAGAGAAAAGTGGAAAAGTTTGAAAAGAAGGTTTTCACCTTAAAAAGTAAGTACTTACTTAAAAAGTAACTATGGATATACATAGCACAATCGTGCTCTTGCTAGTATTCACAAACTCAGTAACAAATACACACATGAAACCAAGACAGCCTCTCAGAGATTCTGTGATCAATACAAGCTACACTGTGGCCCTCAACGGACACAGAAGTTACCAACTGAGGAGGGGGTGAGCCAACCACGCAGCCCCAGCTGCCCGCAAGGGTCAAGACAGCACAGAGGCCCTCTGCTGGCCCAGGAGCAAGCAGCCGCTGCAGCCGGGACCTGGCCACTTACATGGGTTTCTCCTCTTCGACTCAATGTCAAAGACATTTTTTTACTGCAAAAAGATTTTTGGCCAGACATGGTGGCTCATGCCTGTAATTCCAGCACTTTGGGAGGCCGAGGCAGGCGGATCACCTGGGGTCAGGAGTTTGAGACCAGCCTGACCAACACGGTGAAACCCCGTCTCTACTAAAAATACAAAATTAGCTGGGCGTGGTGGCGCACACCTGTAATCGCAGTTACTTGGGAGGCTGAGGCAGGAGAATCACTTGAACCCAGGGGCAGAGGTTCCAGTCAGCCAAGATCACGCCACTGCACTCTAACCTGGGCGTCAGAGTGAGACTCTGTCTCAAAAAAAAAGATTTTAACCTCAACTCCCAAACTATTCAACCATGTTTTAATTAAATCTTGATTTCTCAGCGGAATCACTTTGGCAGCACCAGAAACAGGACAGTTCAGGCAAAACTGCAGGAATTTGTAACATACCAGGTAGTATCCTTCCAACAAGAGCATCTAACAGCCAAAAAGATTCTTCTTCATTATTCGTTATAAGAATCAGATATCCCGCTATAAAATTCATTCCCTGAAATTAGAAAAATGAGAAACAGAAATTCACATTGAGTTTTAAGCCTCCATACGATTCTGCAGTCATTCAGCTACTAACTACCCAGTTTCCATTTCTCCTGCTTTTCCCTAAAACCTGCATAATTCCAGAATGATCCTTTAGTAGAACTCTAGAGTCACTAAATACCTACCATCTAGTAATGTGTTTAGTCAAGCTTACGTGAAGAAAAGTAAAAGCAAAGGGAAACACTTTAAAGAAATCCTGAATACTAAAATCAAAGACTCATCCACTAATGGTAACCTTGTGATAAAAAAACATAACTTACCATTGGTTTCTAAAGAAATTACTAGATATCAACAACATGAAACTGTCTGCCAGAGAGAAAACTATACCAATGACCACACTTTATAAAAACTGTAAGGAACATGTTCTGACACGCGGGTGTTGGGAGAATTTCGTGGTGGAGACCCTTTCGGGAAATCCATGTGCACACCTGCCAAAGGGGTGCTGCCTCAAACATCACATATGTGACCCTCTCCATCGAGGGCAGCCCCAGACCCTGTGGCCGAGAGCGGACCCGGGGGGACCTCTGTGGCCAAGAGCGGACCCGGGGGGACCTCTGTGGCCGAGAGCGGACCCGGGGGGACCTCTGTGGCCGAGAGAGGACCCGGGGGGACCTCTGTGGCCGAGAGCGGACCCGGGGGGACCTCTGTGGCCGAGAGCAGACCCCTTCGAGCGGACAGTGCTACTGGTCCTGGGAGAGGGTGACAATGTGGACAGTGGACACATGGAAATGCAGGTGGGTGATCATCGTGGAGAAAAAGCAGAACATGGCCAAGCACAGTGGGGGATCCCAGCACTGTGAGAGGTAGAGGCAGGAGGATCACCTGAGCTCGGGAGTTCAAGACCAGGCTGGGCAACATGGCAAGACCCCGATCTCTACAAAACATACAAAAATCACCTGGGCGTGGTGGTGCACCTGTGGTCGCAGTCACTCAGGAGGCCAAGGTGAAGAACCGCTCGAGCACAGAAGGTTGAGGCTCAGTGAGCCGAGATCACACTACTGCACTCCAGCCTGGGTGACAGAGCGAGACCCTGTGTGCACTGTGTAACTCTACACGTCTGCTATGCATTGAACTGTGTCCCCCGCCCCAAAATTCAGCTGTTGAAGTCCTAACCCCTAGTACCTCAGATTGGGACCTTGTTTGGGAAAAGGACTGTTGCAGATGTCATTACGGATGGGGTCATGGAGGAGTTGGTGGGCCCTAATCCAAGCCTGGTGTCCTTGTCTTAGGCAGAGCTTCAGACACAGGCACGCACAGGAGAACGCACGTGGAGATGGAGGCAGGGACTGGGGTAGTGATGCTGCCCACCGAGGGGCACCCAGGACTGCCAGGAACCAGCAGAGTCAGAGCAAGGCCTGGGACAGTCCCTTTGTCACAGCCTCAGAAACAACCCACCGTGCAGACATCGTGACCTCAGACCCCGCAGACGCCGCGACCTCAGATGCACAGCCTCCAGAGCCGAGAGAGAATTCGTTTCCACTGTTTACCAGGCTGTGGCATAGCCTCCGGAGCTGAGAGAATTCATTTCCACTGTTTACTAGGCTGCGGTGTTTCCTTAGGGGTCCACAGCAAGCTAACAGGTGCACATCTACGCACACACATGTACATATGTGCCTGTAGGTTCCAAATGCCAGCTGAGCTCTGGCATTCTGTTAGTATGTAACATTGTGTTTGTGGTTTGTTTTTTAAGAATAGAGATGGGGTCTTGGGGCCAGGGGTGGTGGCTCACGCCTGTAATCCCAGCACTTTGGGAGGCCGAGGCAGGCGGATCACAAGGTCAGGAGATCAAGACCATCCTGGCTAACACAGTGAAACTCCATCTCTACTAAAAATACAAAAAATTAGCCGGGCGTGGTGGCAGGCGCCTGTAGTCCCAGCTACTCGGGGGGCTGAGGCAGGAGAATGGCGTGAACCTGGGAGGCAGAGCTTGTAGTGAGCCAAGATTGCACCACTACACTCCAGCCTGGGCGACACAGCGAGACTCTGCCTCAAAAAAAAAAAAAAATAGAGATGGGGTCTTGCTGTATTGCCCAGGCTGGTCTTGAACTCTTAGCCTCAAGCAAGCAATCCTCCTGCCTTGACCTCCCAAAGTGCATGATTATAGGAAAGGGCCACCCAGGTGGGTGGTGTTTTTTGGTTTGTTTCTCGCTTTTTTGGAGACAGGGTGTTGCTCTGTTGCCCAGGCTGGAGTGGTGCAATCATGGCTCACGGCAGGCTTGACCTCCCAGGCCCAAACGACCTTCTCACCTCAGCCCCTTGCATAGCTGGGACCACAGGCATGTGCCACCACACCTGGCTAATTTTGTAACATATTTCGTAGAGATGGGGTCTTGCCACCTTGCCCAGGCTGGTGTTTGTGTTTTATTAAAGCTGTTTTTGAAACGCGAAGGAGCAGAAAATAGAATGACGTAGAGGGTTTCTTGCCCACTCTACCTCAACTCCAGAAGGCCAAATTCTTGCTCCTGGACAGTCATAAAAGCAAGGAATGGCAGGAATTCTGTCTGCAAAGGAGGGACTCTCCCAGCTTCACCTGACATGGCACTGTCTGCCCGCCACAGAGCGGCACACGCGCAGCACGCGGAGCAGCTGGTGAGGACGGCGCGGTACCGTGGCTCTGCTGCTGGCCTGTCTCAGGGCGTTCCTCACGCACACGTCCACCCTTTCTCCTTGGGAGCATTCACTCTGCCAGGGACCAGGCCCAGGGCTGTCCAGGCAGGGGCTCCACACTCCCGCAAACGTTCGCTCAAACTGCATTTTCTGGTTGGTGCACGCCTGGCTCCTGGCTCCTACAGGAAGTTTCCGGTGGCATCACTGGGCCTGCTGGGTTCGAACCACCCATCACGACAATGTCCTTCCCCGTCTTCCTAGAAACATTTAAGCCAGCCACAACCCCTAGAAGCCTGTGAAGCACATGGCCTGAAATGCCAGGAAAGCACTCTACAATCCCGGTGGCAGCCGTGGGCTCCAGGCTCCCAGCCACTGGGACTCACAGGCAGTCACAGGCCACGTGTGCACCTGGAAACCATCGTGGAAGCCAGCCCTGCCCAGATGCCTGCCCTACCCTCGGCGAGCTCAGAGAGACTGGAACAGCACCACCGGCGAAAGGCCCAGGCAGGGCACACACAGGCTGGGAGACTGCACGGCTCCTAGCTGCCCCCAATTCCGGCCTGTTCGCTCCACCAGTTACTAAGAGCAATGCCCTTAATATGCACCCAGCTAGGTGGCCTCCAGGAGGCGCAAGGACTCTCCAACCGCACCTGCTGGTTCACACCACGGAGCCAGCCGGGGGATGACAGTGTAGACAGCAGACACTCTGGGAGTGGCCTCAGAGGACAACACACAGCTCACAGCACACGCATCCCATAGCACACACATCCCACAGCACGTGCACCCCACCGCACACATATCCCATAGCACACATGCCCCATAGTACACAAGCCTTCCAGCATACACACGACACAGCACACACACTGCACAGCACACGTACCCCACAGCACACATGCCCCATAGTTCACATATCCCACAGCACACACGCCCCATGGCACACCACATGCATCCCACAGCACACACACCCCCACAGCACATATATCCCACAGCACACGCACCCCACATACCCCACAGCACATGCACCTCACAGCACACGCACCCCACAGCACATATATCCCACAGGACACGCACCCCACAGC